CAAAATTGTTGGGGACTGATTTCCACTTTGCTCATAGTCATTCAGCAATGATCCCCTTTTGAACTGCTTTAATCTTCTTATTTTGGTGGATTACCAAAAAAATCTCGCTGCCTTTGGCGCTTTCAAAAAAATCATGGATGGATTAGCGCATTTCTTGGATAAGTAAGTGGATAAGCCAGACGTTTTGCATGTTCTCTTTGCTACATTCAGCACTGTAATATACTGTAATATAAGACATTGGCATGAAATCGTAACTTTCACGCAGATTATTAAAGAAAACAACGACTGAGTAAATTTAGAACAAAGGCAGATTTATTGGAAAGAATATGATATCTACATAAGGCATGAATTTGCCCCAGATTTTTTTTGTTTATTAGCCAAAGCAGTGCAGTTGTACTCTAAACCGCTAAAGATCGACCTATCACACAATACTAGCACGAATTACATTTTCTTAGATATATATGAGATAGTGAAATTGGTAGAGATATTTTGTGAGATGTTGGTAATAGGAAACTAGAAAAGTAGTGTATAATATAAATGTTTGGGATCATAGAAGATTTGTTGATAATCAATGGTTGAGAAAGTAAAAAAGCTTTATTCGTGTTTTAGAAAAAGCTCTGGTCTTTCTCATTATATCAATGATCTTTCACTTAGCGGATATGAATTTCTAATGGCTTATAGCTGCACCTACGAGATAGAGCCTATAAATCTCTGAAACTGCAAAAAACGTTTCCTTGAGAGTAGGAGATAACAGGGATGCGTGCTGGGGAGAAGATTAATTTGCTTTGGATACTGCCTGGGTGGAAGCGAGCCTCAGTGATAAACAGAAACAACTGGAAGGTGATAAAGTGCGACGTTACAGCATACAACAAAATTTTTTGAATTCGTCCCATTTCTGCTTGAAACGAAGAGAAGCGCAGATAATTGATTTTTGGGGCATTAAAGGCGTTTTGCAGCTTTCTTGAACGGGAAACCTTTGCATAGGACACGTGAAAAGCATAGGACAACGAGAGTTGTATTTACTTTTCTTCTAAGATTTACATTCCGCTGATGTATTTCCCATTCATGAGAAATGCTTAGATCAGTCAAAGAGTAGAGGTTGGGCTGTTGCTAGGAAACATCTAAAAAATTGCACATAATTAGTGCTTTTGCGGAAATCATGTTGATTAATGTTTAAATCAGGGTGATTAATCGCAATGTACAACATTGCAGCTTTTTTGTCTTATTTTGTTTCAAATCCCCCACAATTCTAACTGTACGAGCATGCGAGTATGAAAGGAACAACTAAGGCATTGAAGGGCGTAGTGTGATGTTTGCTTTTGAGATACATGCAGAGAAAGAACGCTTGAATGCCCGTTACAGATAAAAATTTGTAAGTTTGCAAAAATCTGTTTTTTCCATGCTTTCTAGCAATAATGCAATTTTTATGATTATTAATAATTTTGATTGAAGCAAAAACAAAGCATACATATGTGATTTGTAAATAGCAAAATTCTTGTACACTGAAAACCTTTTTCAACACCTACTCATTGACTGATCGATTCCAATGCCCTCCGCCACTTTTTTGGAAAGTTTTTGAGACAAAGTAAGGCGGACACATTGTCGTCATACGTTATCATGGAATAGATAAGAAAAAGAAAGACCCAATAAAGTTTGTGCCTTATGTAAGCGCCATAAAGCCATTTGTTACAGAATGGCAAATACTTATCTAGCCAAATATATGAATTCAGCCAGGAAATTCCAAAACTGGAGGCATTACATATTTTCCTAGAAGTTTCATGGTTAGCTAGCAGATATATCCTTGAAAAATTCACATATATCTCTCAAGTATTTTCAACTGACAGACAGGATTATGTATGTAGTGTTGAACCACAACAATCAGTCGCGCATGTTTCCACAAAACTAGCCTAATAAATTATTTTCTTCAATATTTAACCTGCTACCTC